TGAGCGGTTGAGTGACAAGGAAGAGGCCCTCCCAGCTGCCCTCTCCTGGTCTCTCTCCGCCCACAACAGCTCCCCAGCCTGTCTCATGCATCAGAGGCCTCACATGGGGGCAGGACCATTCAGCAGTTGCCCTCAGCCTTCCAAGGTAACAATAAAGAGCTACCATGAATTGAATGCGTGCCATGTTCCAGGTACTCCACTGACCATTACGTGGATTATATCTCATTTAATTCTTTCAGCAAACCTATGGTATTGGAATTTTGCTCTTTCAATTTATAGATGACAAAACTGAGTCTTATATACTCATCCTAGGATCCTACTGGTATTACATGACAGAAACAGGACTTGAAGTCATGATTTGGGACACAGAGAATGTCCAGGATGACTGTCCAGAGAACCATGAGACAATTTTGAGACTTGGACTTTTCTGAATAATTTAGAATACATGGTTGCTATACTTGATACTTCAGTAGAAAAAAAGAAGAGAAGTGGCTGTAGAGGCAAAATTTGTACTACCAGTTATGATTTTGGCCAAGGAACTTAACCATTCTGAGCCGCAGTTTCCATCTCTACAAAATGAGTACAATAATCCTTGCAAAGTTGCTGGGGAGTAATGAATTTGAACCCAGCCTTTTTTCTAAACCTAGAAAACACCAAGGTCCTTCCTGCCTCAGGGCCTTTTCATGTGCTGTTTCCTATGCCTGTAACCCTAAGCCCCTAGATGTTCACATACTGGTTTGTTCTTGTCATCTAGGTTTCAGTTCAAACATAAGTTTCCTTAGAGGAGCCTCCCCTGACTACCCAGCCTACTCTATTACTCTCAATTGCATCACTTTTATTTTCTTTGCACTCAGCATAACCTGAAATTACCGTGCTAATTTATTTGTTTTGTTTCTTTGTTCATAGCCTATCCTCTGTCCCCAACTGCCAAGGATGTAAGTTTCTTGAGGGCTGGGACCTCTGTGGGGTTCAATGACCCCATTCCCAGTGCTCAGAGCAGCACCTGGCAAACATCAGAGCTTGCTAAACATTCATGAATGAATGAATGATTGTGCCTCAGAAACAGCATTATATTTAAGTGTCTGACTATCCCGCAGGCCCCGCTGAACCAAAGGGCAGTAAATATGGGTTCATAGGGGCTCGAGAGAGAGCTTTGGGCCTGGCTCAGGCCCAGTCCTGAAACTCCCAGGCCGCAGGGAGCCATGAGGCTGCTGGGGCTTCTGGCTGCTCCAGGATAAAGGTCAACCCTTTTGCCGGAACATGAGATTCTGCACTGTCTTGGCCTGCCTGTCTCTGGCCTCATCTCCCTGGGCTTCCCAACCTGCAGTCCATGTCCAGGCCAGACCAAAGAACTCAAGGTGCCTGCTGGAGAACATGGGGCAGCTTCACGCCTGTGTGCCTTTATACATACTGCTCCTTCTACCTGGAATGCCCAGCCCCCTTGCTCTGCCTGGCTAGCTCCTCAGTCGGACTTGAAGACTGGCCTCCTCAGGGGAGCCCTCCCTGACCCCTCTGGCCACACCCAGTCCTCAGCTTCCCAGGATATTGTAATGATCTGTTTCTGTGCATCTTCCCAAGTAGCCCAGAGATCTCTTGAGGAAAACAACCAGCTTTTGTGCCCTCAGTTTGAAGCACAATGCCTAATGCACACAGTAGGTGCTTAGTAGATGCTCCAGTACCACTTTTGGACTTTGGGTTCCCAGGCATTAACACAATTCCTGAAGCACACAGTAGGAGCCCATTAAGTGCCCACTAAATGCATGAACCTGAGCAATCTGACACTGGCAGAAGGTGGAGGCAAGGTGAGGAGTGAAGGTGGGGTAGGGATGGAAGATGCTTCTTGGGAAACAAGACAACGTCAGAGTGAAGAAGGCAGATTGGACTCAGGAAATGTCCCAGGAGAATGGACATGCAAAAAGCAAAAATAAAAAGCAAACACAGATGGATGGAGGCATATAAACAGGACTCTCATTGAGCAAGGGGAGAGAAAGTGAGAAGGAAGGATAAAAGAGGAAGAACTGGGCTCAGAGAGGACAAAATGTGCCCATGAGAGCCACAGAGGACAGGAAGCCAGAGATCAGGACAGGCCAGCTACCTACAGGATGTCTGGTGCCCTTGCTTCAGCCCATGGGGGTAGATAAGGGTGGCATGGGCAGTGTGGTGCTGTGGTCCCTTCTTAGAGTGATAGGGCTGGGTGAAAGGCCACATGTCACCAGGTTTTGGAACATCTTGGGAAACTCTTCCTCTATTAGCTCAGGGGAGGCCCAATATTATGAAACAAAGCACCCCAACTATCACAGTCATAGACCTAGTTTCATGCCCTTGGGTGAGCAACTTAGCTGCTTTTGCCTCCGTTTTCCCATCAGGAAAGTGGGTAATAGTCTCTTTACCTTAGAGGAACATTAAGATCATACTGAGTTAGGACATGTAAGAGAAATGTACACAGCCTGATACAAATGCCAGGGGTTGACATATGGTGATTTCTCCCAAGCCCTGCTGTGAATGGGTCCTAAAAGAGGCCATGCCACCATGTCACTGGTTTCACAGACAGATCTGAGTTCAGAGCCCTGGAACCTAGGCTCAGCCCCTGGTTTTTAGACCCCAGTGCCAGATCAATACAATAAGGCAAAGTTTATCCCCAGGTGAGAGGGTGAGAGGCAGCAGGCATACCAGCCGGCTGAGACAACTGACGCTGCTCACAGCCAGCAGGCCTGACTGACTCCACCACTGAGTGTTCTGGGGGGTCTCCACACCGCAGCCCATTACTAGGGCTGAAAACACTTTTCGGGCTAATCATACTTCAAGGTGTGCATGGGTTCCAAGGAGGAGGCAGAGTTCCTGAAATAATTTTTAGGGAGAAAAAAATAAGACTCTGAGGCTTGAGAAATCTAGCAGATCATTTAAAAGTGCTGGCTTTTTTTTTTTTTAAGATTTTATTGGGGAATTGAAGAAGGCAACAGTGTTGGGTAGTCGGGGAAGGGGAACATTGTGTTTCTCCAGGACCTATCAGCTCCAGGTCAAGTTGTCGTTCTTCAATCTTAGTTGTGGAGGGTACAAGCTCAGCTCCAAGTCCAGTCACCGCTTTCAAACTAGTAGTGAGGCGGGGTGGGGTGGGTGAGCGCAGCCCACCATCCCATGCGGGAGTCAAACCCACAACCTTGTTGTGAAGAACATGCACTCTCACCACCTGAGCTATCCGGCCACCTGTTGGCAGCTCAGCGGCAGCTAAGCTTGGGTACAGCTCACTGGCCCATGTGGGAATCGAACCGGTGACCCAATTGCTCAGAGCTGTCACTCTTAACCAACTGCGCCACCCAGCCAGCCCTTTAGAAGTGCTGGCTTTGATGTCAGACAGACCTAAATGTGAACCCCAGTTTTGTCACTTCTCTGAGGCTTAGTTTCGTTAACTGTCAAAGGGGGCTAACAATAGTACCCACCTCCCAGGGTTGCTACGATGAGTAAACGAGCTGGTGTACAAGTACATAAAGCCCTGAGCCCAGCGCTTGGTCCCTAGTCGGCAATCAATATTAGCTATTATGTGACTAATATTGCATGCTCTTGGGGGAGGAAAGCCAGATCATAAATGGATCGATCTCTGAATATCTAAGCCACTTTGAGATTAAACTTGTGACAACTCAGAATAGCATTAAGTCACCAAGTGTCAAATTCCATTTTGCAGCATCTGTTGGGTTGTCGGAAAAGTCATGATGCATTTTTGCAATAGAAAAAATACGTCATGACTTTTCTGACAATCCAATATTAGGAAAGTGTGACTTCTGGGCTAGTGGGTGGGATTCCCCTCCACCCTCCCTCTGCTGTGTTCTCTGTTACGATGGGGGAGGATCATGGATTAGCTGATCTGCCAAGATTTTGAGGGGGGGATGCAATTTAAATAGAGCCTTCAGCTTGCTAGTCTAGCTGGACTCAACAATATTACAGAAGTGCTCAGGTGGCAAGAAGTAGGGGATCAACCTCAAAAGCCGAGTACCTTCACATCCAACTTGGAGAGTCCATGGCCTTGGAGGCAGTTTTAGGGTTGGGTGATGAGAGGGAGAAAGCGGACAGGGCGCTTCATCCTTCCCGAGTCCCACTTCTCTCTTCCAGGGCTCTCTCTGCACCCCACCCCTACGTCCTACAAGAGTTTAGAACCCAAGCATGACCCACCACAGGGCTGGTGTGTGGGGGGCAGGTGGGAGGAGGGCAGATGAGAGCAGGGGTGACTGACAGCAGGATGCCACGGCTGAAGAAGGGAGTATAAATATAAAGTGGCCGGTGTAGGACTGGACAGAGGCCATATGAAACACACGGTACATTCCAGCTTCAGCGTAACAAACTGTACCAGCCTTTTTGAGAGCTGGGAGCGCTGAGGAGGGGAGGGAAGTGCGCAGAGGTTCCTTCGAGGTTGGCCTTGCCTCCTCCTCCCCCAGTTCTCCCACAGCTCGGGCACTGCAGGGAAAGTCCCAATGTTCCTTTTGCAACCACAGGAAACCTACTATCCCTGCTTACACTCTGTACCCAGTGTTCTTCTCAGCAGCTCCAGACTGGGAGGGAGCAGTGAGTGGGGGGAGGGGTGGTGGTGGTGGTACAGGCAGCCATAGCCGCCCAGGTAATATCAGGGGAGGTGGCAAGCATCACTGGGACTCCGGCTCAACAGTGTCATAGCCTGTAAGCGCTGCAATGGAGGTACAGATGACAGCAAGGTGTAGAGAAGGAAGTGCCTTGCCCAAGGTCACACAGCCAGTTATTCAGCAGGGTGGGACCAGAGCGCATCCAGAGCTGGGCAGTGCTGGGCAGCCCTCTTGGGTGTAGTGTGTAGGAGTGGCAGGCCAAGGAACAGGCAGTGCCCGGGGACTTAGGGTGGGGAGCCCAGATCTAAGGCTGCCTCTACGCTCTGGTTGGCTCTGGGCAGGTCTGGCTTGGGCACTGTCCCCTCTACTCCTCCCAACCCTACCCCCGTCCTTAAACATTAGAGATAATGAATGTAAAGTGCCTAGCATGGAGGCTGGTGTGTGATGTCAGCCAGAATGAGTCACCTCCACGCCTCCTCTCTCCTCCTCCATATGCAGCTCAAGGCCTAGAACCTCCTGGGATCTTTCTCCCATATCACCACCTCCTTGCTACTGAGTCCCTATAGCTCTTACACACATTTGGTACTCACCACCTGCTGGCTTGGGTTATTATTTAACTTCACACACTGTGTGTTTGTCTCTTCAACTGGCCTGCAAACTGCCCAAGGGCAGGAAATTATTTCAATACACTCAACATGTATTGAACATCAATTCCAGGGCCAAGTTTTGCTTGTGGGGGATGAGCTCCAGTGATGGGGGAGGCCTCAAAGAAGCAGACTTTGTTTCTGCCTCAAGGACTTTCTAATCTGGTTAGAGGAACAGGCTTAGTAAACAGATCACTAGAATGTAAGACAGGCCATAGGCTGGGCCAAACCCAGCGTGTTGGGCATTCGGAGAGGAGAGGAATCAGATTTGACTGGCACTGTGCCAAGCAGGCTTTATGAGCTGGAGCTTGAGAGATGGGTAGACATGGAGGATGGGATCTCCTGTCGCAGCAAAGGGCACAGCCAACGTGGAGGTGGGAAGGAGGGAAAACAAAGGACTTTAGGAACTGTGTCTTAAATTGTAAGAAATAATTTAATTAAAATTTAATTTGTTTAAGAATGTAAACTTGAATGACATCCTTAGCAGGACCCAGCAGAGCCTTCCATACGGGTAGGTGCTCAGTATGTAAGTCCTTTGTCCCCTCCTTGGTTTGTAGACTAAGCAACCTCCAGGATTAGCACTCAGTGATGTCTTTCTGCAGAAGGATGGTAAGGAGAAAACGTGGCTCTGAATAAACTCTTGGGGGTGGGCAAAGGGAGAGGTCAGGCTCTAGTTTGGGGTCGTCTTCATCTACCCTGCCCTCGGCTCCCACCCGTTGGTGTCCCAGCTGTTTTTACTCCTGGCCTCCCGCCAGGGGTTTCCCAAACTATCCAAAAGGTCTGGGCTCGGTTTGCCAACCCCTGGGAGTCCCTAGAGTCTCCAGGCTGGTGTGAAGAACGGGATCAGGAAAGGGAGCCGAGGAGCTGGGAGGCTCCTCCGGGGATCGCAGAAGTTGGCCCCATCTACCCGGCTTCCGTTGTCACGTGACTGCATCCCAGGTCTCCCAAGTCTGGGGCTGGCGCGCTCCCAGCTATCTTCTTCCAGACTCCCGGGCCGAGCGCTGATGGGGCTTGGGCGGCAGGCTGGGCGGCTCCTTCTCCCTCGTGGAGCGACACCACCTGCCCCACCCCCCAACCGTGCTACTCCAGGCCCCATACCCGCCTGGGGTTCCACACCCGGGCTCAGGTGGGGGATGGAAAAGTCTGGGTGCTCTAACGCTGAGGACCGCGCAGGGCAGCGGGGGGCCACCCGGCCTGGGCGCACGTCCCTGGGGTCGCGCAGCCGCCGCTGGCGGTCCCTGGGGCCAGCGTCTGGCCCCGGCCCCAGCGCGCACTCGCAGGCTGCGGCGGCGGGGAGGCTGCGCGCGGAGCGTAAGCCGCGAGCACAAACAGGGCGAGGAGGCTGGTGTGAGCGCCTGGGCCCCGTGCCAGCGCGCCGGGGCTGGAACACAATGTCCCGGGCGGGCGGGCGAGCGGGGAACGAGAACAGCCTGACTCAGCAGCTGGGTAAGTGGGTGTGCTCGCTCACCAGATCAACCGCTCTTGCAGCCTGCGGTCAGCGACGACCGACTCTCGGAGGCTCCCTGGAGCGGGAGGGGCGAGCTCACGGCGGGCTCCTTGGCCCCCGCCCCTGCCTGCCGCTCGCTCGCTCGCTAGCTCAGGACTTCCACGTGGCCGGTTGGCGGATCTCTCTGCCTTCTCGCCCCTCCTTTAAAGCGTCTCACAGCCCCCCAGCCTAAGCAGAGCAGGCTCTGCCCACCTGGGAGGGGCACTCTCCTCACCCCACCCGGCAGGTGTGGCCGGGCATACAGCTGCTGGATACATTGTCCCATTGCCTCCAAACCCCACCATTCTGGAAGGCCTCTGATGGATGTAACCCTTCGTTGCAGATGGAGGTAGAAATTTGTTCTAGGGTGGTGGCGGGCAGAGGAAGAGGATGCTGGGAGAAATGGGATATAGGGCAAGATCTCCCCCATCTCTGTCCTCAGCTGACCCAGAGTTCAGAGTCTCTTCCTGTCCCCTCCCCTCAAAACCACTGGGCCCCTGAAGATTTCCTCAGAGGGAGGGAGAAGCAGGTGGGGAGGTGTTCCTTGAAGCCTGAGACCCTGCTTTTCTGCCTTACCCACCCTCCTACCCAAAGCCACAACAAAGACCTATGAATCCTGCCACTGAGCCATAAAGCTTCTCCTTCCTCCTCTGCCTGCTGTCCCCTGTGATCTGGTGGGGCCATTGTGAGGATGACAACCCCAGAGCCAGGAGCTCAGATGGCAGCCCAGAGCTGGACTCTTCCTGAGGGGCGGGAACTTGTCCCACGCCCCAGCCAACCGGGGTGTCTGCAAGGTACCCCAGGGGACAAGCTGTGCCTGGAGTGTGCCAGGGCAGGCAGGGAGGGGCTCCGTCCTCTGCCGAGTTCCAGGAAAGGCTCTGGCAGTCACCACAGGCCTGGGCTCCAGGGCCTTCGAGGGTGGGGCTGAGGGAGGGACCTTAGACTGCTGAAGTGCCTCACCTGGGCCTCACACCCTGGGGCCCATCTGATGGCATCTCTGGCACCCTCTGTAGCCAAAGGTGAGGAGATGGATGCCAACACAGGCCTGGGCCATGGACCACTTTCCCACACATACAGGCATACTTCCCACACATGTGCTTACCCAGCCAACACAGATTCTCCCAGTCAGGAGTAACCTTCACTATCATCGACTCCAAACTTCTACCTGATGTATGAAACCTGTCCACGATATCCAAGGTCAGTGATTGTTCTGAAGCTGTTTGCATACCTACAGAGACAGGGACACTCCGAATGTAGCCCACTGCCCTTCTGGACTTCCCTGTCTCCAAGCCCAGTCACCTACAGGACACCTGCTCTCACATGGCCTAGAAGTGACTGAACTTATCCTCATGTCCCTCGCACCAGCTCCTCCCCAATGCCCACCATGACCCTCCCATCCCCCAAACTCACCATGATGGTGGGTTAATTTTTAACTATTTTCTCTCCTTCACCATCCTGTATCTGATCTATTACCAAATTCTTCCTGTTTGTTGCTTGTATTACAAAATGCATTGTTTGTTATTTTTCTCATTCACCTCTTTCTCTCCAACTCCACAGATTCTACCTTTGGCCCAAAATCCCACAGCAGCTGCCACACTGTCCTTTCTAACCCAGGTTTTCCCTTCCTCCTACACACCCTGCTGTAATAACCTTTCTCAAACACTGTTTATTGTGTATGTTATCAACTTCGGAGTCCTCAACCAAGCACATTGGGTACACGCTAGCTGCTAACCTGTGTTCCATATGAAGGGACCCGAATTCATTCATGGTGTGCCCAGACCATGGAGTCCAACACTGTGCAGAGCAGGAGCGCAGCAGAGTCACTGATACGTTTGGTTGCTCCTGTCTCATTCTTTCAGTTCTCCCTCCTGACTTGGTCTCCCCATTCCCATCAAGCCTGTTGGCTTCCTGATGCTCACTCAGGTCCTTTTGTTTTGAGGAGCCACTATGTTTCATTTCCCAAAATCTTCAGAGAGGGGTGGGGAAGGGAGAAGCTGACATCCAAGTTAACATCCGTTTGAGCCAAATACCAACTGCATAGACTTTGAGTGCAGAGTGGAATGAGTGTAGCTGCCTGCTGGGAGCTTCTGCTCCAGTAAGAAACAAAACCAGGGAGGAAGGTGAAAGGCAGAAAAGACACTGCGTGCAATCAATGGCTTTGGGGTGTTTAGAGAGATCTCACCATTAGAGATCCCAGCCTGCTTAGCTCTGGGTCCCTGATCTGATGCCCTTGGGTTGTTCTCTTTCTTGGCACCATGTCACACATGCACATACATGCGCGCGTGCACACACACGCCCCCCCCCCAATCACTACCTCGTGACCCAGCTCAAAATCTACCATCTGCAGGAAGGTTCTGATAATCTCCACCCCCGCTTTGACCATTTTGGTATCACCTTCCCTCTGAGTTTTATGAGCTGCCTTCAGTCTTTTCACAATTTATTATTTAGTTATGAACTGTAGTATTTTCAACCCCATAGAGTATAAGCTCCTTCAGGGACAGTGTCTTTTGTTGGGTTGTTGGAAAAGTCATGATGCATTTAATGCAACGAAAAACAGAAAAAATACGTCATGACTTTTCCGACAACCCGATATTTATGTTTGTTTATTTATTTAATATCTACTTATTTTTGAGAAGGAAGGAGAGATAGGGCTCTCTGACTTTGGAGGCCACGTAGACATGGGTCTGGATCCTGGTTCCAACACTTAGCTGTTTGGCCTAGGGCAAGTCTCTTAACCTCTCTGAGCCAGTTTCTTCATCTGTGATCCTTACCTTGCAGAATGAGGGGCAAAGATGACAGAATACAAAGTGTCAAGAAAGTGCCTGTTGCAGACATTAGCTTGTCTTCCCTGCACAGTGGAAGCCTTCCCTGAATTGAGGGACAGGGTTCCTTAACTACCCACCCTTACTGAGACACTCTTAAGTGTGAAAAGGGACATTACTAATAATTACACCGGTTCTATAGCCGTAACCCCTGGACGTATGGCCACCCTACCCTAACAAGAACCGGTGAGGGCAGGGTTCGGATCCAGCGTCGGTGTCACCCCATGCCTAAGCATGGCACCAAGCATAGTTCAAGCTCAATAAACATTTGTTGAATGAAACAGCGAACAGAACCTATTCTTCTCTGTTTCTCTCAGCATGTAAAGAAGACTGAAAGGCTCGCTCTGCTCCCCCTCCCCGCCACCTCCCCACCCCCACCCGGGTCCTAATGCCTCGGGCAGCCTCCTTTCTCGAAGGTCTCGCAGTCCCCAGCCCGCTTCCGCCGCCCCCGGTTGTCTTGGCAACAGTGACGTGCTGAGAGGGGCGTCACCTCTCTCCATCCTCTGCCTGAGCCGGGGGCCCCTTCTTATCCCAACCAGGGAGAGGATGACGTTGGGGTCCTCTATCTTCTCACCCCACCGCAGGGCCTGGAGCAAACAGCATCCATCTGGCCGCCCCACTCGGGCGCGTGCGGGTACCCACCTCCAGCCCCCTCCGAAGCCCTGAATTGGCAGGGGCTGGGAGGATGCCGGCTTCAGGCCGGGGAATCCCACTTCACCCCTTCACCCCCGACGAGCCAGTGGATCCCGAGAACCCGGGCCCGGTGCTCAGCCCTGGCCCGCCCCTACCCGGGCAACCCTCAGGATCCTGGGGGGTGGACGGGAAGGGTAAGACCCCAGGGGGCGGCCGGGCGCCGTGGAGCGCGGGAGAGAAGGAGTTAAACAAGGTGCCGGCGCCGGGCGCGACGGGGGTGGGGGAGGGGAGCGAAGGGAAAGTGAGAGCGGGGGCGCGGGGGGGTTGGGGAACGGGAGCGAAAGAACATCCTGTGCCCGCCGCCGGATGCGCGCGGGGGGAGGTAGACCCGGGAGGGAGGGCAAGATGGGGGAGGCCCGGGGCGGGGAGAGGCGTGGCCCCCACCCCCACCCACTCCTCCTCCTCTGGGGGCTCCGCCCCCTCCGATCCCAGGGCCTTCGCGGCGTTTCTTCGGGTCCCCACGCTTTCGTCTAAGTAGCGAGCTAGCGAGAGGCCCGCGAATCTGGTTCCTGGGCCAGGGTGAGCGCTGGCTGGGAAGGAGACGGTCTCGGAGAGTGTGGGATCCGCGGCGAGGCACTGGCGCCCCCCCAAGCCTTTCATCTCCCAGCTTCTGGTTTTCTGCGGGGGAAGCTCGCACGTGTTGAACGTCTTCTGTGCACCGAGAGTCATAACACACATTCTCTCATTCCTGACAACAGCATTTCCCGGTAGTAGGTAGATATTAATAGACTCGTGTTCCGGAGGAGGAAATTGAGACTCAGATTATGGAATTTGCCCAAACCCAAGCTGGTCGGACTCCAACGGGGTTTTCGTTATGAAGTTATACTAATTTTCTCTTAGCTTCTCCTGTGCTTACAACAAGCACTGGGCCCCGCCAGGCTCACCGTCCTTAATGGCACTGCACTCTGTCTGCACAGTAAGCACCCCGTAATATATTCGGTTTCTCTAATTTCTCTAACCCGAAGTTATTCAAGGCAGTTAAATGGGTTACAGGAATTGAGAGTGATTAGCTTGAAGACCAAGGTGTGCCGGGTACAGGGTGAGTGGAAGGGGCTGAATGATGTACTTTACTGGCCTCACTGAGGCCCGCCATCTGTGTGCTCACTGCCTTACCACGCTCAACGTTTTTTTCCAGGTGAAACGTCTTATAATAGTTTTTATTACAGTCAGTGTTTGGTGAGCTCTGTGTGCTGGGCACTGTTTCAAGTTCTTAATCCCCACAAACAACCCCATGAGGTGGGTATTATTCCCATTTTACAGGCGGGGAAAATGAGGCACAAAGAAATCACAAAGCTGAGTCAGTGACTGAACTGCTTTTGAACGTCGCAGTGGCTAGAGCCCACATTCTCACTGAACTAAACTGCACCTAACAGGATGGGAACATCAGCCTCGAAGGTAGCTGGTGCAGATGGCAAAAAGGGGTGTGATAAGACACCCCATGCCCTTTTGCCTTGGTGAGTGAGGGTGGGTAAGAAACTTGGGGCTGGCTGTGTGTATATGGAACCTCAGACTTCTCTTTAGCCCGTGGTTCCAGATTTCTGGATTTGACAGGAAAACCAAAACAAGAAAACAAAAGCCAAGTTCCCACAAAGAGTTGCAGCTTTAATTTATGCTCCCTAAGAACATTCAAAACAGAACTGCCATCTATTGTCACCATCGTTTCATAAAAACAAGTATATTTTAATTCTCAAACTAAGAAAGACATCATGCGAATCAAAAGCAGTCATTCCAAGAAAGAACAGTCATCGACTTTATACCAATAAATATACATTCCTCTGTCTTTTTTAGTTTTGCTGTGGACTAGTGAAAATGTCCTACTGGGGATGCCTCTGCCTTTAATCCCTTTGAATCATTTAAGGGCAGAACCAAAAGAAATGGGCTTTAGGTATAGCAGGAAGGAGTTAGCTTAGAGCCTTCTCCTTTGGAGGTCTTTAAAGAACACGGGAGCACTGTGTTTGCTTAGGATGTGAGGGTTGCAGAATCAACTCCATGGACTGGAGAGACCAGTAGCTCTGGGTCACAACCCAGAAAAGGGCAGGGACCTTGTTCTGAAGAATCTATCCTCAGATCCACCAGGGTAGCCTTGGAACCTAAAATAGTCCTCATCAGGCAACCTTCCTGGAGTTTATGGGTGGTGACTGGTGGTCCCAAGGCAGTGAGGAGGCCTCTGGGGACCACCACTCACTCCTCCTTGCAGGGAGTCCATGTAGTCACCCACCTCGGGGCTGGGTAGAGTGCTAGGAATGACCCTTGAGGAGGACTGAAGACAGAAGAGAGGAAAGGAAGAGAATGGCCATGACAGAGTGTTGTTGCCTGCAGCCCGGGTGTGATGGGTGAAGGCTCTGGATGGACAGGCTTGGCTGGCTGCAGTGTCCTTGGGGATGCTGTTTTTCCATTTTCCCACCTCCAAGCCCAGATGCAGCCAAGGACCCAGAGCCTTCCAGCAGGAGCTCACAGCCAAGCAGGTGAAGCCCTGTTCTGGTACAACCATGCTCAGTGCTGGCTCTGGGCCAGAGCCTGGGTTGGGGCTTGTCACTTCCCTGTTCTGTACCAGAAGGTGAGGCCAGCGGGTATGGGGGCCACTGGGGATGGGGGGAAGGGAAAGAAGGAGGGAAGATGTCTGGTCTCACCTGCCCCATCCTAGTAGTGGTGAAGACCAAGGCCTCCAAAGTTGGGCGCTCATCCTCCAGGGTGGTGGCACCTCCTGACTCCAGAGGAGGCCTCAAGCCTCATCCTGCCCTGTGTGTGTTGGGGGTGGGAAGGGAGAACTGGGGCATGGTACTCACAGATTTAGGCACCCATGATTTAAAGGCACAGACCTGCCCAGATTTTAATCTTGGAGTTTTAGAATGGTGAATCTGGATCTCCTCAGGTTACAAACGCAGAAACAGACTCAGGCAAGGGCAGTTCCTCCTCTAGGGCCACACTGGTTAAATGGGCCTGGAACCCCTGTAAACAGATTCTCCATCACTGTTCTGCCCTCAAGTCCTCAAAGAATGTCAGAAATCAGGACTTGAACACCTCTTAAGTGTAGGACTGTGCTGAATGTTGGAGATGCGACAACTGCTCTCAAGAGCTTTTGATCACACAGGTAAGTATGCTATAGGAGAACACATAAATGCTGGAAGATGACGGATTTGCCTCGAAACTCTGTGCAAAACTTTATAAGGTGCTCCCCTCCCTTAAGGGGACCCTTGCCTGAGGCCCAGCAGTGGATGTATGGTGAAGAGATCAAAACTGGAAAGGCCAGGGAAGTGAGGGGGAACAGGGCTGCCTGTGGGTACACCCCAAACACCCCTCCCAGGAACTTCCAAAGGCTTCAGCCTGGAAATTGGGCCTCTGCTGCCCTCTAATGGAGTAAAGGTAGCCCCTGGAACCACCTGCTGGGGCCCCACCAACCTAGCTCCCCTAAAGAAAAGGCGACATGAAAGACCTTCCTGCCCTAGACTTTTTATTTCCAGAGTCCTGAGATTCATTTCCTATAGCCTCCAACCTAAGCTTTCTCTCCTTCCAAGCACCCCTGGCTGCCCAGGTTCCTTTGTTACCTAGGTTTCGATTCTGATACCCTGGGTTCTTGGCCCTGCCAGAGTTCTGGTTCCGGAAGGCCCTTGCCAGGTACCTTGGGCCTAGCTCCCACCTGGGCGCAAGGTGGCGCTGAAGACATGGGCAAGCCTGTCTCCCATAGCCTGGGGCAATTGGACATCCGCAAAAGTGTAGTGGGCCTGGCCACGGGTGCTGGGGCCATCTACCTGCTCTACAAGGCCATCAGGGCAGGCATAAAATCCCAACCGCCCCTCAGCACCACCTCGCCCATCTGCATTGCTCGTGAGTGTCTGGGCTCAGGGGGGAGGGCTCTGCCCCAGGAGGCACCTGCTCCCGATGCCTCCAGTTTGGGAGGGCCCAACGGTGACTCCTCCAGGTTCCTCTTTCCTTCCTATTTCTCTTCTGCATCTTCCTCAAAACTGCTCTAGAGATACTAGCTCAGGGTCCCTGGGTGGTGGATGGCACTCAAGGGGGATCCTCAGGCCTCATCTGGCAGGCCTTAAATTCTACATTCACTCTGGCTTCCAGGATGCCGCCGCATGGACATTTGGCATTAGCAACTCTCCCTAGGGAAAAATTGGGGGACCTGCTTGTCCAGAGCCTCTGCTAGTTCATATGACAACTTTGTACAAATGCCAGGAAATGGTTATAGTAAACATTAAAAACTATGATGTTTATGATACTAATAATGGAGAGACCAGTAGCTCTGGGTCACACCCCAGGGAAGGGCAGGGACCTTGTTCTGAAGGATCTATCCGCACATCCCCCAGGATAACCTTTGAACCTAAAATAGCCCTCAACTGGCCACCATTTCCTTCCTGGAGTCATGGGTGTTGACTGGTGATCCAACGGCAGTGAGGAGGTTTCTGGGGGACTCTACTCCTTGCAGGGAGTCCATGTAGTTACCCACCTCTACTACAGCATTAGACATGGTGCCCTCATGCAGTCCACATCCTGTTCAACTGTACATGGTGGTTGTGCCTATAGCAAGAAAGCTTCTCTTCAGTAAAGGCAAGGCAGCTTTGTCCCTAGGTCCCTCTCCCCAACTTCCCAACCCCATTCTTTCATCGCCTCTGAGTCCACAGCCTGAACTGGGCTTGGGTGGCTGTCTAGGCCTGGCGATCGAGCGAGAGCGGCATGGGCGGTACTCGGGTGAGCTCCGGAGGCTTCTCAACTCTCTGGATTACAAACAGGATGAGTACACCAAGAGCATGATCCTGCACAGCATCACCCGCTGTGTGTACTTGCTGGAGGCTGAGGTGAGGGCAGGGAAGCAGGGGGTCCCTCCCCATCAGCCAGGCCCTGGAGGCCACAGCTGATCCTTGCTTGCCCACCTTGACTGGCCAAGCTGTGTCCTGGGACCTGTCTCTTCGGCTGACGGCAGCGGGAGGGGTTGTGCTGAGAGGTCTTGGTGACATGGGCGGGGGAAGGGGGAAAGGGGGGTGGGCAGTGGGCCCAGGACCCCTGCTTCTGCCTCTTCCCTCTTTTGGCATGCTCTAGGCCTCTGCTTGTACTGCTGAGGACATTGTGTTGGTGGGCTCCATGCTGGATGACAAGGACAGCAGTGTCAAAATTCAAGCTCTGAACACACTTAAAGCTTTCTCTGGCATCAGGAAATTCAAGCTCAAAATCCAGGTGAGCCCAGGGGCAAGTTGTGGGCAGAGCACACGGGATGGCCATAGTCCATGGGTCCTTTAGCAGGTGTAGGATAATTGGTCACATTCCAGAAGTTTGGTTCTGAATTTGTAACCCAGATATATATTTTTTCTTGGAAATAAGTGGGAAAATGGTGGTCAGATTCCCAGCAGGGTCATAAAAGCCTTTGATTCTCAGGATGAAACTGAACTAGGGCACTTGGAATATCTCTGAACCCCAAACAGCAGAAAGCCCCCTGAGGTTCCTTCTGACACCAACTAACTCATTGACACCAACTGGGTGTCTTACAATTCAATTCAATTCTGACACTACCTGGAGTTAGCACAGACTCCATAGGTTAAGGGCTCAGTCTTACAAGACTGGCCCCCCACCTCTGACTTCAAATGCTAGTTACAAGTCCTAGTACCTCTGATTGACCAGTGGAGGTTCCCACGACCCCCTTTTGAGAGTTGATAATTCACTAGAATGACTCATGTTGAAGAAAAAACATCCAGCCTAAGAGAAAACTTATAAGAGTTTATTTGAGCCAAACTGATGACAATTGTTGGAAAGCAGAATCTCAATGGATTGTGCAAATGCTCCATAAAATGGAGGTTTTGCAACTTATTTTATACATTAGAATCAAAGGAGGAGGGGTTACATGAAATTCATTGGTGGTAGATTAAGGGGGTGGGAGAAAGCAAAGCGGGGGGAAATCTCTGGGATTGGATAAAAAGTAAATTGAAGAGACAGATACTTCTTTCCTATTGGTGGGTACAGGATAGTTAATAGCATTTTACAGCACATAGAGATGGTAATTGGGATAAGAATAACAATGAGGGATTCTGTAGTTTTGGACTCTGGTGTGGCAGGTTGTGCCCTGAGAGGTCTGGAAAAAGGGATTACTCTGACATTCCAAGGGTATGTTATCTTAGATGCAAAAGAAAATAGACAGGCTTACTTGAGGTAAGGACTGACCTTTGTCAAGGAAGCTGCAGGCCAAGGATGTGACTTCCCGCCATGGCCCACCTTAGTTAGGAATTTTTGTATTCAGACCATTCAGTGTGGTTAATTTCGGTCTGAGTTTGTAGGGCCTGCCATGCGGGCCTCCCCTGAGCTTGTCAGGTTTAGTATGGAGCTCCTTTTGCATCCACACTCACAACTCAGGAAAACACTTTATTTATGTTTACTGGTTTATTGTAAAAGATACAACTGAGGAGCTGCCAAATAGAAGAGATGCATAAGGCAGAGGATGTGGAAAGGGGTGGCAGAGCTTTCATGACTTCTCTTGGGACACCACCCTCCTAGTACCTGGATGTGTTCACCAACTTGGAAGTTCTCTCAACTCTGTCATTTGGGGGTATTTATGGAGGTTTCATTATGTAGGCATGATTGATTAATCACTGGCTATAGGTGATTGAATTCAATCTCTAGCCCTTCCTTTACCCCAGAGGTCAGGGATCGGGCTAAAATCTCAACCCTCTAATCATGGCTTGGTCTTTCCGGCCACCAGCCCCCATCCAGAAGCTATCTAGGAGTAAGCCAGGAGCCACCTCAGTAGCATAAACCCAGGGATGATGGAAAAGGGCTCATTATGAATAACAAAAGACCCTCCAGTCAGGAAACTGCAAGGATTTTAGGAGCTCTGTGCCTGGAACCAGGGACAAGACCAGATACATTATCATACCACACCCCCCATGCTGTGCTGGTCAGAAGCTGGTGGCTGGGCCACTGGTGACTTCACTGCCACCATATAGAGAAAATATAATCCACCAAAAGTCAGTTCCTTCTGCTTCCTGCCATCAGGCCCCCAGCCTTACCTGTTTCCACATCCATCCTTTTCCTGCTGTTGCCACGAAAAAAGCTTTCTTCTTGTGTGTAGTCAATATTTGTTAGTCTCTGTCTGGGATCCCACCCCCTTCCTTGAGGGCCCCTCTCCTGATTAGCCTCTCTGATGTGGCCTTTTCTGCTCTTTCCCATTCATGTTCTATTCCCTCCCATCTTAAAAAGCAAAATTAAAAACAAAACAGAAAAACAAAAAAATATCTTCCTTGACCTCCAAATGTCTCTCTAGAAATATCTATCTCCCAAATTAAAAATAAGTATTTAAAACTTACATTCTTCTATGTGTACAGTACAAAGAATAATAATAAAACAAAACACACATAACCAGAACCCGGGCTAAGAAACAGAACATGACCAGTAGGTTTGATGCCTCCTTTCCCACCAGAGACAGTCACTTCCCTGCATTTTGTTCATCAATTCCTTGATATTCGTTGTAGTTTTTGTTGTGGCTGCTTACTCACGGGTTGTGAAAGAATTCACGAGGCAGGTAGAAATACAAAGGGAAGATTTATTAAACTAAGAGGAGGGTCAGATGAGCAGAGTCTGCTGGAAACTACTGCCCCGAGTCTTTGTTTCATCTGAAGTTTTATATTTTCTAACCAGGACGTAAATTACTTTGGCCTGTAATGGAATCTTCTGGTATGTTCGGCTCCGTCGGTTGGGGTTGGGGGGGAAGGTGCGGTTAAACTGGTTATCACAACCTTTGCATATGTTATGTAGATTTAAGTTGGAGCCAGGAGTGGATACAAACTATACAGGTAGGTATACAAACCTCACCCAAGTCACCTGCTGAAGTAAATAGAAACATTTAAACTGGTATGCATAGTAATATAGTAAACAGAGCCATTAAGTTTTGGCAGAAAGAGAACAAGAAAAGAAAGCTTTCAGAAAGTCCCAAGATAAGTTACACTGGTTAAATCGAATTATATACCAGAGGTCCAAATCTCAAAATGGAAGAAATAGTGCCACCATTACAATCTCCCTGTCTTATCAGTTTTACCGTGTGTGCATGCATCATCTTATATTGCAGCAGGGCACAGCAGACAATAGATGAATAGGTAAAATGTAGTTTGGAAAGCTTTTAAGCTTCATGTATCTAGAAGTATGCAGTTTGTCTTCTGTGGTTTGTCTTCCCCACTCAACATTGGAAGAGTCATTCTTATTGATGTGGATAGCTCTGTTTCCTTCTCTCTCCCTGCTTATAGTATTTTCCTTTGTGAGAACCCTGCCATTTTCTTTACCCATTTGCCTGCCCATGGGTGGGCATTTGAGTTGTTTGAACATGTTCCTGTGAACATTCCTGTGTACATCTCCCTGCGGAAATGGGAGACTCTCCAGGGTGTGTATGCAGGAGTAGGATGGCTGGGATGGGTGAAAGGGTATGCCCAGCTTTTCAAGAAACGTTTTATCAGTTTACTCCCTCCATCAGCCCTACACAAGCACCCCAGTGGCGTTGCTTCCTCCATAGCCCTTGGTATTTTCACGCTTAAAATTTTTTGCATGAAACATTTTTTTTTGGGGAAAAAATAAGTCTAGGTATTCACTTTTCTTGCTGACTCTACTTCATCCCTTGGCCCTCTCAGTATCCTGAAGGCTGTGATTCTCAAGCAAATCAGAATTGCCTGGAGAGTTGGTTGAAAACAAAGATTTTGGGGCTGCAAACCCAAAGAGTCCGGTGCCCCAGGGAAGCTGTGTTTTTAACAAGCCCCCAAGAGATTCTGACACAGGTGGCCCAGCCACCACTGTTTCTTCTTTCTCCCAGGGTCTGTACTTTAGGACTCAAACACTATTCTCCTCTCGGGGTGAAAGCAGCCACTCCCTGGCCTCAGTTTCCATCTAGATATGCTCTCCTACGACTCTTTCTGCTGCCTGGTGGCTCCCCTGTCGTCCAGACCCATGTCCCACTGCTCCATTTAGACAACCTAGTGGCCTGATAACCCGACACATCCCAAATAGAGCTCATCTTTACTCCCTGAGTTAGACCACCCTCTCCTTAGGGATCTGATCTCATCAGCCCCTTGCTTGGTCTTCCTCAAGACTCTTAGTATAAAGTACAGCATCAGCTCCACATCCTTGCCCCAACCAACCCCAGCTATTTACACGGTATGTTTCATGCTCTCTCCCTCCCTGGCCTTTGCACCTGCTGTCCCCTCTGCCTGAAACCCCATCCTAGACTCGCTAACTCCTACCTGTCCATCAGGTCTTAGCAGACCACAAAGGGGTGGGGGCGGGGAGGAGCAGGGTTCCATGGGAATGCTGTGATGCTCACTCCAGGATTCTTCCCTCCCTCTTAAGTGGCTCAGAAAGGTATAGCTTACGAGGTTACCTGTCTTTGGTAATACCTCTCAGTCCACGCATCTTGCATCTCAGAAGCCAAGATCCCTTTATTCATTGAACAAATACAGAGGGTGCCAAAAAAAAGTATGTACTTTTTTTTTTTTCAGCTGAGCCATCCTGCTACCTGTTGGCAGCTCAGCGGCTGCTCAGCTCGGGCTGGACTTGAACCGCTGTTGCTCAGAGCTTAAACTCTTGAGCGAGCTCTTAACCAACTGAGCCACTCGGCCGGCCCAGTATGTACATTTTAAGAAAGGAAAAAACTGCATTAAAATGGTAGTACAGTGAATGACGCTAGCATTCATTTGATTAACGCTATCTTTTGAGCGAACGTCATACTACACATTGCTCCATAATTCAATTCAACTTCAAAAAGTAATACATAAATAACATCTCCTAAAATGTGTACATTTTTTTGGCACCCCCGGTATATACTGATCACTTAACTGGGCACCAAGGCACTCTGCTGGGCACTGGAGATGTAGCAGTGATCAGAACAGGAAAGATCCCTGTCCCATTGGAACCTCTATTCTAGCAGGGCAAGGCAGACCATACACAAATAAGTACAATATGTAGTGTGCTTCATGTGACAAGTGCTATGGAGATATAAAGGAAAGTTTGTTGAGGAAGGCTGGTATGGAGGTGGTGGTGCAGTTTTAAAACCGTTTGCTTTATTAAAGACCCCATTAAAAGGATGTAAAGACAAGGTGTAGATTGGGAAAAAATATTTTTTTTACATGAAGCATGTATAATCGATGCCTCAGACCTAGATTATACAAAGAGCTTTTAAAACTCAATATTAAGAAAACCTAATCCAATTAGAAAATGGGCAAAAGACATGGATATATTTCACTCAAGAAGATATATGAATTGCAAATAAGCACATGACAAGATATTTAACATCAGCAGCCATTAGGGTAATGAAAATTAAGACAATAAATTAAGATATAGCTATACACCTCTTAGATGATCTAAATTCAAAATCATTGACAATACTAAATGCTGGTGAAGATGTAGAGAAACTGGATATCTCATACATTGCTGATGGGAATATAAAATAGTGTAACAGCCACTCTGGAAAATAGTTTGGCAGTTTTTTGTTTTGTTTTAACTATACATTTACCATACAAACCAGTAGTTGCACTACTGGGCATTTATCCTAGAGAAATAAAAACTTATATTTGCACAAAAACTGTACACAGTTGTTCATAGATGCTTCATTTGTAGTAGTAAAAAACAAAATAATCAAAGTGTCCCTCAATAGATAAATGGTTAGACAAACTGGTAATCCATACCACTGAACACTACTCAGTAATAAAAGGGAATGAACTATTGATACATACAACAAATTAGATGGATTTCAAGGGTATTATACTGAGTGAAAAAAAAACCCCAAAACCTCAGACTGTCACAAAGTGTAACACCATTTATATAACATTCTCCAAATGATAAAATTATGAGATAAAAGCAGATTAGTGGTTGCCAGTGGTTAGAGTTGAGTTTGGTGAGGGGATAAGTGTGACTGTAGGGAGTCTCACAAGGGCGGTCTTTGTGGCGATGGAACAACTTCGATGGAATAATATGTTGATTACAGGGATGGTTACATGAGCCTACACGTGATAAAATGACATAGAACTACACACACACATTGTGCCAATACCAATTTCCTAGTAGGATGTAACCATTGAGAAAAACTGGGTGAAAAGCACACAGGACCATTCTGTACTATTTTTCCAACTTCCTGTGAATTTGTAATTATTGGAAAATAAAAAGTTTAAAAATAAAAAGTGTGTTACATGTGACAGCACTAGAGAGAGAGACAAAATAAAGATGGGGGATAAGGAAGGCTAGGATGGGAGTGGTGTTGCAGTTTTAAAGGAGGCAGCCAAGGAAGACCTGAGTGAGGTGACACTGAAGCGAAGTCTTGAAGGAGGTTAAGAGTGAGCTATGAATATCTGGAGGGAGAGCATTCTAAGTAGAAGGAACAACTTATGTAAATACCCTAAAATAGGTGTGTACCTGGCCGGTTCAAGGAATAGGTAAGAGGCCACTGTGATGGGAACCATGGAAGCAAAGGGGAGAATAGGAGATGCGGTCAAAGAAATAATGGGGGGAGAGGAGCAGATCATGGTGGAGACCGTAAGCCACTGTAAGGACTTGAGCTTTTACGCTCAGTGAACGAGAAACTCATAAGCAGAGGAATGGCATGTCTAACATGTCTGCTGTTCTGAAACAGATGCGGGCATGGGGGACGGCAGTGGTGAAAGCAGGGAGACAGGAGGCTATCGCAGAAATCAGATGAGAGATAACGACTTGGAACAGAATGGTAGAAGGGGAATGGGGATAGTGCTGAAGGTAGAGCCAACAGAATTTTCTGAAGGTCGGTAAAGGGGTATGCGAGAAAGAAAATAGTCAAGGAAGACCACAGTCAAGGAAGGAAGGTGTAATCATCACCAGCTGAGATAGGAAAGGTGGTGGAAGGAGCAGGTTTGGGGGCCGGAGCATGTTAACTCTGAGAGATCTATTAAACGTTCTGGAAGAGAAGTGGCACCTGAATGCATGACTCTGGAGCTTAGGGAGAGGTCTGAGGTGGAGACACGCTTGAGGAGGTTGGTCAGTAGAATGAGGAAAGAAGTCTGAAAGAGAAGCCAAGTGAAGAAAGAATTTTAAAAATGTGGGAGTGGTCAACCAGGTCAAATAGTGTTGATAGTTTAAGGTAGAGGGACTTGTCTATTGGGTTTGGCTCAGGCATCACGGGTGGGGGGCAGTGAAGAGTGAAAGCAGAGGCTGGGATAGCGTTGGGGATCTTCATAGAAGCAAACCCGTCTCTCTCCCCTCTCCCCCCAGGAACACTCCATCAAGGTGCTGGAACTGATATCTACCATCTGGGACTCAGAGCTGCACATTGCAAGCCTCAGGCTCCTCAATAACCTTCCACTGCCTGACTTCGCACATCCACAGCTGCGACGGGTGATGCCTGCCTTGATAGAGATTCTTCAGTCAGACTATATCCTGGCACAGGTGCCTCAAGACCATGGCCCAAGCCCGGCCTACCTGACAGCCCTGGCACAGCATCTAGAGGGAGGAGAAAAGATGTGTGCCTTCTCTGCTCAGGCTCAGGCTCACCTGCCTTTTTATGCTTTACTATTTCCTTTATTCAGGTGCAAGCCATTCGATTGCTGAGCTCCCTGGCCCAGAAGAATGACCTCCTCTATGACATTCTCAACTGCAAGGTGAGAGAGGAACGGAAGAGGGACCGATGGATTCCAACTCAGACATTGGGGAAGGAAGAATCATGGATTCTCCAGGCAGACTTAGCCCTAACAAGACTGTTTTATTCCTCTTCCTGCCTCTGCACTACATACATTGAGAACTAGTCCCTCTTCTGTTATCCAAGTAGAATCAGAATCTATTTTGTTGGGAGAGGAACTCTCCTTTGAGGGGTTTTCTAAACTCTGAGAATCAGGAACACAAGTGACAAAACAAAAGTTAATATAGGTATTTTAATATTAGGTAAAAATGACATAACAGAAACCATTATTAGGAATAGACAGAGCCGCTACATAACGATTACTGGTTTGGAAGGGTAAAGCAACTCTAAACTTATGTGAACTTGATAACATAATCTCAAAATTGGAAGAATTACAAGGTAAAACTGGATAGAATTACAAGGAAAAAAATTTCTTTTTTTATTT